CACCAACTCCCGGCGCCCAGTGGCCTTGTGCGCAGCTCGTTTGCGTGTCCACTCTGCCAGAGTGCGTCCAATGATGCCTCCGCCCGGGAGGACCTCTCTCTACAGGGATGGGGGGGGGAGGGAGGGAGGAGGGGTGAGCTAGCAAGGTAAAATGGTTGAACAAGGGGGCTGGGGTGAGGGAGGCCGTAGTTCATGTGAAAAAAAACAGGACAGTCCATCATCAGTCATGGTTACAAGGCGAGGCAGCTGCCATTGTGTGGGTATTGGTGACTGTTTGTTTAAAAGCATGACCACGAATTTGGTGAAGTCTGCTGGCGACTCAGATGGGCATGGAGAGACTGTGATCGTCTCTCGACTGCGAGGAAATAAGGCAAAAAGCATTAATTGAGGCAGAATATGCACTGGACCTCTGCTTATTAAGACGAGCACATTCATTGCGACAGTCCACCAAGTGGCTTAGGGGACAGGTTTGTGCCATTATCTCTTGAGACCCAATCCAGAATCTTTCTAGGCAGTCGCATATATGCAGGGATGAGTAACTGCAATGACCATGCAGATCTGATGGCATTCCTAGTTTATTAGGCGCCATCAGCCAACCTTATCCGACCACAGGTTTGCGTGATCCAGGATCTTTGATCATTAGGCGTTGTATGTCTGGCATACGACAGCTAGTTAGCCAGAAGTGATCGTCTTCATCTACCTTGTCTCTGTCATGACTCCCTTTTGCAAAGATTGCGCATGTGTTTTAAAACAACTGGCTCAATCAGATAGAACCGTAACATACATAAAGGAAACAGTCAACCTACCTAGGCGGTTGATGGACAGCTAAACAAAACTTCGGGCCCCTGAGAATACCTCCCCATTTTTGTTCATGTAAAATAACATCAGTCTCCCATGTTCTCTTACTGAAACTTCATGTGCGTACAAAAATAACAAAATCTTTCTTATTTCCTGTGGTTTAATCACCGAAACGGACGGTTGAACTGTCGTATACCAGAGGACAAAGCGAGCTTCAATAACCAATCAAAGTTTGTGTGTGACACGGATGCCCAGGCTGTGTTTGAGCTGGGTTGCGTGCCGTCGGTTCCAGTCCTGTGGGCTGTCGTGGTAAAACCCTGGCCAGGTGACTGTCATGGACCAAGGAACGTGGTGGTATGCTTAGGTGCGAAGTTTCCATGCCTGCCGTAGGCGCCCGACCTCGCCTTCGGTTTTCTTGACTCCCTCGTGATACCGGGCACAAGCAGATGAGGAAAGGGAGAATGCGGCAGATTCAGCGCAAATATAGCATTCCTTAGAATCAACTTACGCGCTAAAGCTCGCGGAGGAAATCTTCGAACTTGAACGTCAAACGGTCGAGCCTGCTGCAAGCCTCTAAAACCATTCGCGCAGTCATTCGTTTAGATTTGGCCATTTTCGACCTTGCCGCCTGGTCCTATGCCACCATCCATTTTGTTAGGACGAGCCTAACTAACAGTTAACAGGCAGCTAGCATATAGGCAGTGAGCCGCGCTGACGGCAGGCTGTCGATCAGCCTACACACGGCAAACGCATACAGGCAGTCAGTCAATCAATCAATACTTTAAAATTTCAGCTGCAGTTGAGTCACAAGCCAATCGTGCCGATAGCCACGCCGGGACAGAAACTGGTTGGCTCGATGGACACAAGTTTGCACGTGTTTGTTGCCTTAAATACGTT